ACAAAGTAACATCCAAATCTTTTCAATTAACTACTCCTACGGTTGGTGCTTTTTTTTTTTTTTCTTTAATGATCGATTAGTTAAATTTTGATTTTTTTTATTTAATATGCAATTAATTCCTTTAACAAAGAATCGCATGGGCATTTTAGTAATATCTATAAGATTAGTAATTTATTATGCAGTTAATTTTATATTATATTAAAATTTAATATATGTAATTTAATAAGGTTATGTTTTGTATATAAGATTATAATAAAATAGAATAAGATGATATTATATATAATATTAGATTAAATAATATCATTTAACTTTATATTTAATGTATGTAAGAATTATGATAAATAGTTTATTTATTAATCAAAATTATCTTTTATAAAAGTTTATGTAATTTAAATTATCTATATAAATTTTAAAGATGTAATAGGATATGTAATTTTAATCATATATATAATATTTGGTGCATAAGATGATGAATAATACAGTATAATAATCATCATATATTATATTTGATTTATATCTAATTGAAAGAAATATAATTACAAAGAGGATTATCATCCTTTTGGTATAAAATGATTCAATCCTTTTAAAGTGAAAATAATTATTTTTAATTCATATGATTAAACTTACATGTCTTATTATATCTTTAAAATTATATCAATAATTTAAATTATATAAACTTTAAGAAAATATAATTTTGATCAATAAATAAATTATCTTATCTTAATCCTTATATATATCAAATATAAGATAATATCATATATTTATCATAATCTTGTGTATCAAATATGATCAAAAGATATTATAATGATTGACATTTATAAGAGAATATTTTTATCATTTAAAAAATGAAGAGGTACTATAGTAATTTATCATTTAAAAATATTTTTGTCATTTAATACTTAAGGGTATTATTGTCTTTTTAAATAAGTGTCAAACAATTTATAAAATTTTGGAAGGGCAAAATAATCATTTTGCTAGAGGTTTACTTTTATGTATAGTAATAGATATAGTTTAATGATATGATGATTGACCTAATAAATATATATACATATATATATCATAAATTAAAAAATAAAAGTTAAAAGTAAAAGGAATTAAGATTTAATTCGGACAAATTAAAATCACATCAATTTTATTCAACCTCATTATTAGGTTATACTACTATTCCTTCCATCCCAAAATATTATTATGTATTGACTTTTGCGGAGTTTAAAAAAAAAAGTTTTGATTTTAATATATTAATATTAAATTAAAATTTTTTTTATAAAATTAAAATTTATGATTTTTAATGTCAAAAAGTAAAAAAAAAATAAAATAATTTTAAAATATAAAAAGTAAGAATTTTATATGTTAAAAAAATAAGACGTAATTTTGAAAAATCTCAAAAGAAAAAAGATAAAAAAGATGAAAAAAATAACGTATTTTTTTTGTTACTTCAATTAATTACTAAATTGAAAAATTGAATTTTTTTTAATGCAACCAAGTTACATGTGCTTTTCAATTACATGTGCTTTTCGATGTTTTTTCTTATTAATAAAAATATGTCTTCTAAATTAAGGGGAAAATGTAATATTTTTCTAATAAAATTAAGCTAATTTATGTGAGTATACTTAAAAATACTAAAAATGTTGGGATACTTCTATGATAAAAAAATTTATAACTTTCAAAAATAGAAAAGTAATGGAATTTATATTAATCTAAATTTAGTTTATGTTTAAATTTAATTCAAAAAGTAATATCATATTACATATATATTTTTTGTTAAAAATTGATCTTAGCATTTTCTAATCCTTACTTTGAAATAATTTTTTATAAAAAAATTTTAAATATTAGATTTATTAATATTATCTCTTATGATTTATAAATAATTATATGAAGCAATTAAACTCAATTTTGAATTCAATCAAAAATAGTTTTCACTTCTCATCTTTTTTATAAATATAAAAAGAAAAAAAAGTTATATTTCCTTTTTAAAAAGAAGTTTTTAGATGAAAATAGAAAGCAAAATAGTCAAAGATTAAAAGTGCAGTGGATAAATCATAAACCTAAGGTTTGCATATATTATATTCATAAAGATTTAAAGTAAAATCAAGTGATTGTTCGATAGGTAAAGTTATTCTTTTAAATTTAAACCTTTGCTCAAATATTAAGAAGATTTAGATAAAAAAATCAAAATTTATTAAATATGTTTGAATATAATTTTTAGATCAATTTAAATTTTGAATTAAAATTAAAATAAATTATTTAAAATTCAAATTTGATTCAATTAGATTCAAAATCATATAAATATATAATTTTTATTTTATATATAAATTATATAAAAATTAATTTAAATATATATTAAAATATATATATTTAAATTTAATATTTTTGTATAATTTTTATTTTAATTATAAATATAAATTAAATTTAATCTTATTAAATTTAATTTAATCATATATGTTTTAAAATATTTTATTATATAAATTAAATTTAATAAATAAATTTAAAATTTATTTTTTAATTTAAATCTAACTTAAAATTTTAAGATCTAATCGAATGTTTGAATTTAAATAAATATATAAATTATTAATATTAAATATGAGGAGAACTTCCACATTAGTCATTTAACTTTTTAAGAAGGAAAAACTAGTTAATGTAATAAATTAATGCATTCCATTTCCATATAATTGTTTAAAATTTTTCTTACACTTTTCCTCTATTTCACACTTGTCATTTGGCTTTTTATTCCTTCTCTATCATCTTTTTCGCTTCGCTTTGAAATTCTCCTGACTTTTTTTTTTTTTTTTTTAAATTTACCGTTTAAACTCGTCGTTGAGTACAAGCAACTCTCTCTTTCTTGGCGTTTTTTTCAAAAGGTTGGTTAGACTTTATACACAAATCTAACGCTTAAAAGAAAAAGAAAAGGCCCACTTTTTCAACTCGGTGACTGACTCACTTACCGAGTCAATTCGGCAATTTAAAGGTGGTCCTGATTATAATTTCCTTGGAACAGCATGTATATTCTTAAAGGGGAAAACAGAAGAAGAATCTGTGGAGAGATGGGGAGTCTGGTGGAAGAGACTGAAGGCCAGCGAGAATACGATGTTGCGGAGACTATATTCGTTGCAGTGGGGAAGAATGTGGAGAAGAGCAAAACGACGCTTTTTTGGGCTGTTCACAACTTTCCCGGGAAAATGATATGCTTGCTTCACGTTCACCAGCCTACTCATGAACCCGCGTTGAGTAAGCTTTTGGAACGTGTTGAAATTTGATTTTTCGACTTTCTTAATGTTTTTGTTGAGGTTCTGTTTGGTTCCTGAGAAAATTAAAGGAAAAAAAAAAAGAAGAAATTTGGATGTTGTTTTTGTTGTTTTCTGTTAAGCATTTTTTTTTCCTAAAATTCAAAACGTATTAATCGGTTTGCTTGTTCTCTTTTATTGGAGCTCATTAAGAAAATGAAAATTTTTAGTTTGTTTATTTTTAATTTCTTTTTCTTCAACTAGAATTTCATGAGCTGATCTAGTATAGAATTCAACATCGACGAACAGAAATGAACAAGGATTGGATTTTACTAACACTTTCTGATAAGAAAAGAACTGCCCGGAGAAAGTTGTTGGAATAATGAACAGTTGACTATTATGGAAAATTAAGGAGTTTGTTGGAAAATGTACCCCCAAAAAAGAAATTTTGGTTTTTTGGTGCTTTATGAAATTGAATGCTGTAAACAAGTATCAATTTGGACAAACAGATCGGGAGAGTAAACTGTTTCTATTTGCTATTTGATTTTAGAGTTTATTTGATTTGGTTGAAAATAGAAAGCTTGTGGAGTTATTGATCAGAAATCCTACTTTATATTCACTTTAGTGGATGTTCACAATTTGATCTATGGGTAGTGATTATTATGCTAATATGTAGTTTGATAGCTTCGATCATGTGGTGCAATTTTAAGATTATTCTTATATCTTTAATTGGTAATATAAACAGCAGATGGAAAGCTTGCGCACAACAAATTGAAACAGCATGTAGTTGAGGCACCCCAGAAACTTGAAAGACAAAAAATGCAAGAACTCCTAGATGAATACCTTCTTATTCTAGACCATGCAGGGGTAATATTTCTTTTCATTCTTTTTCCAATTAAATTCAGTAACTGATGTGACTAACATTACACTGTCCTTGAGTTGTTTTTATTCTGAGGAAGAATCATGTAACTTGATATTTCTCTAATTTTTTTGCTGTTTAAAGCATTTCATTTTTCCCTGTTGGCACTTTTTCTGAAGACAGAGTTGATGCCATTAGGTTGACGTTGTTATTAACTAATAACATAATGATGTGTAGGCACAGGCAGATACAGTATGGATAGAGATGGACAGTGTTGAAAATGGGATTGTAGAAATTATAGCACGGCATAGTGTTAGATGGCTTGTCATGGGGGCAGCAGCCGATAAATATTATTCAAAGTATGAATGGTTTATCACAATCCAATTGTTGTTCAATATCAGTGAAACTGTTATACTTGAGGAGATTTAATTGAAGCTTCTGTTATACCTAAGTAGTATCTGTATCATCATGAATGTGTATTGGTATTATGAATTCGTCTTAACATAACCTATCTAGCTGGTTACATTGGTGTAGTGAGCCCGTAGTTTAAAATCTTTTTTCACTTTTGTTGGTTTGGTACTCAATTTCTGAACTCAATCATTTCTATTTGAGATTGCAGGAAACTAGTAGAAGTAAAGTCCAAGAAAGCAATCTTTGTATGCCAAAAAGCACCAGTGTCTTGTCATACTTGGTTCACTTGCAAGGGTTGCCTCATCTATACTAGGTAATGCTTGACCTTATAATTAATTGTGTGGTTGGTTGACATTCTTTTATGTTGGAAGAGACATGGGGACCTCCTTCACTGCTTTTGTGGTCCACTAGATTAGCAATTCCAAATTTTAACTCATTTCTTGTTAATTAACATCATAGATTACCCTTCTTACTATCTGAAATATACCTCTCAGCATCAACTACCTCATGGCAGTTTAGCTGTTAGGTATGTGTCTTTGAATAAATTAGGTTGACCAGTGGTGTTTAGCTTGCTCTGTAAGTAGTGGATTAGCTATGTTCAGGTTCACAGAGTTTGTAGAATCTTGCACTGAAAACTTTAATGGTTCTTTAACTGATTGGACTTAATATGAAACAGAATAGGTAGAAAAGATGGATCTAATATTGAGATTGCAACTCTATCACCACCACTGGATTCTTCCCTATTGACAGAGAAATTGGAACTCTTGCTGTCAGAATCTGTATTTAGGGTGAGATCTATTGGTAAGCTCACTGACCCAGATCATGAACTCATTTGATCAGGAAGATCTTTGGCTTTGACTTTCATGTATAAAGTATCAAGTAGTTGTTTTCCCCAGGGAATAACTTTGTTGCAGAGCTATGCAGATGTAGAGGAAGATACTGATGTAATGGGTGGAAAATTAAGGCCTATTTCCTTGTGTTCAGAACATCCAAACTTGTCTAACAATGGAGTCGTTGACAGTTATGGGTCAATCCCATTGCTGATGGATAAGGTGAGAGAAGATGCTTTAGTTTTAACTTGTTGGTATCATTTCCAAGATATTTTTGTTATTTTCTGGTTAGGTGTAAGATTGTAAGCTGTTCTAGCTGTGCCTGTTCAAAAATGCATTTAGAAAAAAAAAAAAATTCCAAGGGACTGTGGTTTTTACTGTTGAACTCATGAAACTTTTATGAACCAAAGCTTGGATTCGTTTGAGTCAGATTGTGCACAGAAAATAAATTAGTTCTCTGCTAGAGAAAAAGACCAAGGTTGCTCGTTTGGAAATTTTGTTATATATCTGCTTCATTTCTTCTTGGTCTCGAAGCTAATGTTATTACACTAAACAACTAGATTATTTTACTATGATTTGCTGATTTTCAGGAAGAAGGACATCAAGGACGAGTGAATAATGAAACTGATCAACAACTAGAACTATCCATTATGGATGATCATAACTTAAAGCAGAAAGTGTTTGCAGAGACAGTGAAGCAATGGAAGGAGGAAAATGATTGCATGGAGGCTATATGCAAGGTGAAAATCACTTGTCTTTTTCCTTCTTTCCTGCTAGGTTGACAAGATTCTGAAATCTGGTTTTAGACTGAATGAAGCTTCTGAAAATATCTTGCCTGAAAGTAAAGTGATTGAAGATGAAATAAGTGGTACTGTTTGCACCACAATCCACTAATTAATCTTATCAGTTGACCTGTTATTTTTTGAAACATGGGGCTTATGTTCAACTTTGGGTTTTTAGGCATGCTATACTCTATCCTCCTACCAGAATTTTTTTTTTTGGTTGGGGGGGGGGGGGGGGGGGTGGGGGGCTTTATGCTAGTTTGACTGCTGTCATTATTTCCCTTTTTTCCAATGAAGGGTTGTCTATCATGCTTTCCCTTCCTGATGTTGGTCAAACTTGCTACACCATCCAGCTAATATTATCATTAAGTTATGATTAAGAGAATTAGGTTCTAAATTTGACTTTGCTAGTGTTCATTCAATTAGGTTTTTATAGCATATTCGAGTTAGAATCCTGAGGTTGTTAGCATGCTTTTCTTTGCTAACCTCCCAATTTATTTGCCACCATTGATATTATAATGCAGATGGTAAATTTTGGAAACTTGTAATGGCAATTTTATTTAAGTTGAGAAGTTTGTTTCCATACTGCCACTGAATTTGTTCCCCCCTACCCCCTCCACAACTTCCTGTTTATCATCCTTCTTTTCTGGCAAAGGCTTAGAATATTTATGTGTGAAGGAGATGAGCCAAAGAAGAGAGATGGAGGAGTTTCTTGAAAGAAAGAAGCAAGAAATACAAAAGGTGAAGGACCAGCATGATGAATTTATGAAAGAATTGCTGATGGTTAAGGGCCAGAGGCCAGTACTTGAGAGCCAAATTGCTGAGTCCAAGTGCACTGAGAAGGAGTTGGAGGAGAAGATAATCTCAGCTGTGGAACTTTTAATTAGCTTTAAGAAAAAGCGGGATGACATGCGGATGGAGCATGGAAATGCCATAAGAGTATTGAAACATTTAAAGAAATCGGTAAATGGTGAAGATGTAAGCTTTCCAGGGACAGAAATCCTTGAATTTTCTTTCATGGAGATTAATAATGCCACTCGCAACTTTGATCCATCCTGGAAGATTGGAGAAGGAAAATATGGAAGTGTATATAAAGGTCTCCTTCGCCATGTGCATGTAGCTATAAAAATGTTGCCCTCATATGGCTCTCAAAGCCTCTTGGAATTTGAGAATGAGGTAAACTTATCTAAAAATCTCCACATCTCTACAGCATTATAAGGTTTTTTTCAAGTCTCCAGCTAGATTCATCAACATAAGATACATATGATGAACTAGAAGCTTATATTGTAAAATTATGATTGTTTAATAGAGAATATCAATGTAAAAACTAGAGGCTTTGTTATGCTACACCTTGGCAAATGGTATAGAAATATGGTACTACTGATCACTGACTTGCTGCTTTAACGTTGAAATATTTTTTGTGTACCATTTCAACCATTTCAATGATGAATAATTCATTTCCTATCAGACTAAGATCAAAGCGTGAGAATAATGAAACCTGTGAAAGAGCAATTCATTATTGTATGTATCCTATCAGGTTCCAAATCTTTTTATTGATTAAAAAATTTGAGGTGCTGCTTAAAAGTAGTCTGACATATTGATGTGGGACTGCTTATTATGTTCTTAAGCTGCCTGTTCTCTGGTTCAAAAATGTTGCGTTCTGAGACAATTAGATCTCTGTTACCTATTAAAACTAAAGAAATTTTCTGATGATGGTTTATTTTCTGATCATTGGGTTTCAGGTAGAGATATTGAGTCGAGTGAGACATCCAAATCTGATAACAATGATTGGAACTTGCCCAGAGTCTAGGTCACTTGTCTTTGAATACCTCAGGAATGGCAGTCTAGAAGACCGCCTTGCCTGCAAAAATAACACTCCGCCGCTTCCATGGCAAACTCGAACTCGCATTGCTTCCGAGATATGCTCTGCCCTTATCTTCCTTCACTCTAATAAGCCTTGTATTCCCCATGGGAACTTAAAACCCTCTAAAGTCCTTCTTGATGCTAATTTTGTATCAAAGCTCAGTGACAGCGGCATCTATCGCTTGATCCCACAACGTGAAAGCACAGCTATTTCTGCTTCATTGTGTACTAAATCTAACCCTAAGGTTGCATCCGTTTATATGGATCCAAAGTATCTGGAGAATGGACAAGTTACTCGAGAATCTGATGTATACTCATTTGGGATGATACTGTTACGACTTTTGACTGGGAGACCAGCGTTGGGGATCTTGAAAGATGTAAAATGTGCAATCGAGACAGAAAATTTTAACATGGTGTTGGACTGGTCAGCTGGTGACTGGCCACTCGAAGAAGCCCAATTGTTGGCTCACTCGGCATTAAGATGTTGTGAGAAGCAGCCATTGAATCGACTGGACCTTGTGTCAGAAATATGGAGTGTGCTTGGGCCAATGAGGGACTTGTGTATTGAATCGGTATCAAGTTTGGGAGCTAAGGAGCCTCGCCGGATCCCTTCTCACTTTGTCTGCCCAATTTTTCAGGTAACAATATGTACATTTCTTGGCTGGCATGTTTGCACAGCCCAAATATAATAGCTACTTGCTTTTATGCTTTTGATTTTGGGAACAACTTCCTTTCTTTGCTTTAGAACTTGTGCCTACGATTTGTAAAGGAAACTTCGAAAGGAACAGTAGTAGGAATTGGTGTTTCAAAGAACCCCTTCTGTGACTTGAACATGTGAATCAATATGTTTACTTAGCTTTTTTCTATGTAATGAATTTAATGGTCATGTGATCATGTTTTATGTTTAGCATGTCTGAAAGATCCTCCCCTTCTCACTTTTTCTATCCACTATATATTTCTTTTAGCTAAAAAAAGGTTTTAATGTGCTTCTTACTACCATTATGGCTGCCTTTAAATTTGCAGGAAGTGATGAAAGATCCACTCATAGCAGCAGATGGCTTCACATATGAAGGAGATGCTATTAGAGGATGGTTAGAAAGTGGCCATGACACATCACCAATGACTAATCTTAAGCTTGAACACTGCAGTCTGGTCCCTAATTATGCTCTTCATCAGGCAATTCAAGAGTGGCAACATGCACAATACTAGTAATATTTATCTTTTTCTCGTTTCCTGTACATCTGCCTATATGTCGACCGTATCCCTCCAACCTTCATACCTATTCTTCGTGAACCAACTGAACCGATTAAACTATAGCATGCTCATACTCTCATGTACAGCTCAAGGGATTTCAGTGCCATTGCTGTATCCAACGTTTCACCTCATCCATTCTTTATGGAAATGTTTCAGTTTTGTCTTCGAATGGAATGCTTTTACAGTCGATTCTTATTTAGAGGGAAGTTGAAGGGTGGACTTGATTGCTCCAATTAACCTTCAACTCTATTGTATTATTTTGAAGGTCACAAGTGAAACTTCATGTAACACTGGAGTGTTGCCCAACTGATGCTTGGGCCATTATCATGGAAATTGCTCAACTCATAATATGATTTTTCTAGCGTCTTCCTCTTATTAATATTTTAAAATTAAATAAAATATTATTTATTATAATGTTATATTAAATATGATAATTAACAATTAATGTTACAAATTTATATTAAAAAAATAAATGATTTAATATAATATTGAAGAATGCTATTAGAGCCTTTAGAAAAAACTCTTTGAAAGTAGATTTACAAATATGATACAATGATATTATGTAAAAATGATATGAAAAAAATTGTGTATTTTTTTAAAAATATGCTTTGTGTTTATTTATGTTGACACGAATTTTAACATAAAATAATTTATGTTTTATACATATTAATACATCCGAACACGTAATACAGTACGAATAATACATTTAATTTAATTTTATCACACGAATATATATTTAACATGTTTAATATTTTTAACATATTTAACATGTTTAACATATTTTTTATATTTATTTTAATTTAATATAAATATATAAAGATTATTTTAATTTTTAATTTTTTAATTATGATAGTTAATTAGCTATTTGATATCATATAAAAATTATTTTAAGCATTTAATTATGATATTTATTTAATAATTATTATAAAATTATTTGTTTATATTAATAATATAAAGACAATAAAATATTAATATTCGTCTTATACATTATTATTTTATTTTTTAATTTTTAATAGTTTATCATTTTAAATTTGATACAAAAATTAATATAGTTATATAATATATATTAAAATTTAAATGTATATATATTAAATACATATTAAATAGGTATTAAAATGTTTTTATTTTTTTTAATATGTAAGTTTTTTTATATTATTAATATGTCAAATTTATTAAATTATAAATGATGGGTAATTTATAATTATTTATTATTTTAATCATTTTTTTTATATATTTATGTTAGTCGTGTCTATTCGTATGTATTCGTATTATTTATATATATCTGTGTTATTCATGTTTATTTATGTTATGTTTAAATAGATTAATTATACACGTATCAATTTTATTGTATCATGTGTAATACTTATAATAAAAATATCATATTCATATTTAAGATTTAAACATATTTTATAATTTGTATTCATGTATATCTATGTTATTCATGTTTATTTATGTAATGTTTAAATTGATTAATTATATACATATCAATTATATCATATCATGTGTAATACTTATAATAAAAATATCATATTCATATTTAAGATTTAAATATATTTATAATTTGTATTATGTTCATGTTTTAATAATTAATATTATTATACATATTAAATATAACATAAAATATGAAAGAAAAACATGAATTACCATATTTATTTGTAATAAACAATGTGGTCTTTCAATTCAATTAATAACAATGAGAATTTTGTTTTTCGTTGAAGTCGAGGAAAAATAATTTTTTTTCAGAGATGACGTCAAAGCCCAATGTTCAAACTGTGGATTTAGGGCTTTTCTTTGGAAGAGGGAAATCAGTTTTCGGCTTTGGGCCTTTGCAATTGGACTGCTTCATTTTTTAAGCGTGCCGTTCACGTTCCTCAATATCGCGTTGCGACGAAAATCTCCCATGTCAAAATGAAAGTATTCATTTTGCTTTCTATTTTCCATTTTTTTTTTATAATTTTGTTTTTGGTTGAAGTCGAGGAAAAATAATATTTTTTTCAGAGACGACATCAAAGCCCAATGGTCAAACTGTGGATTTAGGGCTTTTCTTTGGAAGAGGGAAATCAGAGTTCCGCTTTGGGCCTTTGCAATTGGACTGCTTCATTTTCTTAAGCGTGCTGTTCACGTTCCTCGATATCGCGTTGCGACGAAAATCTCCCATGTCAAAATCATGTAAGTATTCATTTTTACTTTCTATTTTCCATTTTCTTTTTATAATTTTTCTGCTGAAGAGGGTTCCAGTTTCCACCTTTATATATTTTTCTCCTACAATTCGCTCCCTCGAAACTCTCTTTTTTCCTCCGCAACAATTTTCTGGGCTGATCACTTCTTTGCTTTTTCTCGGTGATTTACCCTCCCGCCAAACACTCCTCAATCCCCTGCTCCTTGACTCTAAATCCTTGCGATCGCTTAAAATTCTGTCTCTCCTCATACCGATCTCTCTCTTTCTTTCTCTCTTCACTCATTCACTGGTACGTTAACCGATCACTTCACATACTCTTTCGTGGATATTATTCTTGTTTTTGTTTTTAAATTCAATAACATGCCTTGATCCCATATCACGTGACTCAAAGCCCTAACCTTATTTTTATTTAATTCGTTTTATTTATTTACTATTATTTTTATATTGAATTTAATTGTTACTCTATGTGGAAGCTTTGTAAAAAATGGACTAGAAAGTTGGAATTCGAATTTTACATTCGGTGAAGAATGAAAAATGGCCAAAACTAAGTTCAATGGTTATATTGTGGCTTAGTAGAAGAAAGTTTTAGAGAAGGCGTTTATTTTTGCTGCTAATGGAGAGACGAAGGTTCGAAAAGTTAATTTTTTGGATATGTAGACAGAGTTAAGAGGACTCTGTTCTTCTGCGATCTTTCATTATCATTGTTATTGAGTTTTGATTTGGTTAGCCTTTTCTTGTAATTAAAATTTAGATATTTGCTACCTGCCTTTGGATCTTAATGTTGATTTGTAGGTTTAACTATTTTGTTGTTTTGCTGTGAAATATATTGCTATAGGACGATTAGTCAATCCATTAATGAATTATTATTCTATATGGTTGGTATTTAGTTGTACAAATTTTGCTTGCTGGCATTGGTGGCATAAGTTGTCTGCTGTTTTATAGATGGTTAGAGTGCTTGATTTCAGAGTTGGACGTGGATGTTACAATCAGAACTCAGTCCTCCATGCTCTCTAGAATGGATGTGCTCTCTGTATGAATTTAGTTTAGGATATTTCTGTATTTGATCTTTGGATTTGGTTATCATTCCGGAACTGGTAAGCATGGCTATAAAGTTATTGCATTTGTCTCTAGGTTTACCACAATGGAGATGCAGGACATGCATGTATATTTTTGGAGTGAGATAATGATGATGACACATCTTGACTTGTTATTTTAAAGATTTTTGAAGCAGGCAGATGCATATCACTCTATTGTTTTGATTCTTCCGGATGTTTGGTTGCATTGCTAACATGTGAGCACCTAGTGATGTCCGCTAGAGGCACATGATAATATGATAATATTTAGACACTTTTCTTTTTTTTTCTGGGTGGACAGCCGGGAGTGGGAGTGTTGGAGGGTAGCATCAATTTAAAACATTGTCCCGGGTTCCAGATTCAGTAAAATGACCTAGATACAGAATAAAATCTGCTCTTTTGAATAATAAGTGGTTACTATTATCCTGGTTATTTAACCATTCTTCTAAGTCATTTACTGGCTACTAAATAGATTTCTTGTAGTATTATTCTTTCCTGAATCATTGTCTAGTAGTGTAATTCAATAACAAGTAAGTCATGTAATTTAAGCTGTTTTCATGATCTTAATTTCTTCTCTTTCCTCCCTTTTAGTTGCAGTGGCATCTCTGAGTTAGTGGTTGTGCTCTGTTTGTGTGCATAAATGTCAGTTGCAAAACTCAAGGCTGCCAATTCTGCAGATGTAATGAAATCAGAGGAGCCAAATGATTCTTTGGACACTTTCATCAGACAAGCTATTGGAAAAGAACCTTTTCTTTCCTTCTCAAGGGCTGCGGACAGCCCATTCCAATGGATTCAATTGCTCCATGCCTTAGATCAACAAGGTACTTCAAAATTATTTGACGTTTCAAATCATTGTCCAGGAAAATACCATATTTAATGCTATATATATCTTGATTTTCTTCCCTATATCTCTGACAGATCACCCTGGATGGCCTTTGCTAACTCCTTTGAAGGTGCAGATGCAAAAGTGTGATAAGTGTTTGCGAGAATTTTGTTCACCCATTAACTATAGAAGGCATATACGTGTGCACCATAGGTTGAAAAAACTTGATAAGGTTCTCACCGTCTTCAAAATGTGATTAGTCTATTATGTTGATTTTTTTTTTTTGGAGTATCTCCCAGAATTTCTTTTTCTTCTGATGCTTCTTTAAGATCCTAGCCTCTTGGAAATTTGAGATTTGCCTTTCCTTGGCTACTTTTGATGTTTTTGTTACATCTCTTATGACTCCTCTAAAATATGTTGTTTTACATATTTTAGGATTCTGCTAAAAATAGGGATCTATTAGCGGCATTTTGGGACAAGGTATTTATCTCTCTTTCCCTTTCCTCTCTTGCTTATTTGTTTTAGGTTATCCTCTTTCTCTGGTTTTTGTCGTTCTCATTTGTATTATTTACAGCTGTCAGAGGAGGAGGTGAAGGAAATCATATCCTTCAAGGATGTGTCATTGGAGGTAATTGTTTAATTTTTCTCAGCTGCTTAATCATTGTCGTCATTTAGTAATATTCAAGTGACATCTGGATCTGGTTTACACATTGTTGATATATAACTTGTTACTGTTTTAGCATTATCTTCTATGGAAATGGTTATTTCTTGCTAGGATAAACAAGCACGTATTGGATGGATTATTGTTTTTGTTTGTTCTTGTCTCCTTAAACAATTCCTTCCTTTCTATCTATACCTTCTAGGAAGTTCCGGGATCTTCAGTTATAAAATCATTGACAACACTTGTAAAGAGACCGGGGTTTTTGCCACAAGTTTGCTTGAGGGCAGGTTCTGCCCTTCTGGTAAGGAACATATTTTCTTGTTCATTAAATGTTGTCTTATAGTTCTGAAAGCATGCTAATACATTCTTATGCTGTGGATGTTGTATGTCCTAATTCTTTGCAGGATATTGTCCAAGCTAGACCTTCAAGGTTTCCTATATCTTCACAGGAATTATTTAGTATCCTTGATGATGCAAGTGAAAGGACTTTCCTTTGTGGTACAGCTGTGTCAATGCAAAAATACATTTTTGATGGGGAAGCTGGAAAGATTGGTCTTGAAACCAAAAACTTGGTTGCTTGTACCTGCTTCTTGGTGGAACAGAAACTGGTACCTTTTTTCTTTTC